CCCCCTGCCCCCCCCCCACCGGGTATGTGCCCGAAACCAAGGTACATGCCCTTGACCGGAATCGAACCTGGGACCCTTCAGTCCGCAGGCTGGCGTCCTATCCACTGAACCAAACTGATCAGGGCTGGACGTGCTAGATTTGAAACGAATCATGTCCAAGAGAGTATTGGATGTAAGTCCAAGGTCACAAGTCAAGTGGGCGTCAAACCTGGGATTTGTCAGCACCTAAATGCCATTTCAAATGGGAAGAGGAGGTCAGATTACCAAGAGAGAAGTGTGTGGAGAGTGGACAGAGAGCTCATAAGAACATTCTTTCTCTTGTGAGTGTGCTACTGGGCCCCATATGCATCTTTTTAGACATCCTTGGATGAGACCAAGTGGTAAGGTAATTGGATGGTGTACTCAGGGGAGACTTCATTGAGAAAGTGTGGCTCAATGGTTGAGCTCTGCCCAAGGAACCAGGAAGTCACAGTTCGATTCTTGGTCAGGGCACATAGCCCAATTGTGGGCTTGACCCCCAGTAGGTGGTGTGCAGGAGGTAGCCAATCAATGATGTATCCATCTCTCTCTCCCTCTCCTTTCCTCTCTGAAATCAGTAACAAACATATTTAAGGAGGTTCATGTCTCCAAGGCTGCCACAATCAAGTCTTAAAATGCCAGCCATTTTAAGGGCCCAAGGATTAATCAAGACCCAGAAAGATGAAATAGGGCATCAAACCTGGGATTTGTCAGCACCTAAATGCCTTTTCAAATGGGAAGAGGAGGTCAGATTACCAAGAGAGAAGTGTGTGGAGAGTGGACAGAGAGCTCATAAGAACATTCTTTCTCTTGTGAGTGTGCTACTGGGCCCCATATGCATCTTTTTAGACATCCTTGGATGAGACCAAGTGGTAAGGTAATTGGATGGTGTACTCAGGGGAGACTTCATTGAGAAAGTGTGGCTCAATGGTTGAGCTCTGCCCAAGGAACCAGGAAGTCACAGTTCGATTCTTGGTCAGGGCACATACCCCAATTGTGGGCTTGACCCCCAGTAGGTGTTGTGCAGGAGGCAGCCAATCAATGATGTATCCATCTCTCTCTCCCTCTCCTTTCCTCTCTGAAATTAGTAACAAACATATTTAAGGAGGTTCATGTCTCCAAGGATGCCACAATCAAGTCTTAAAATGCCAGCCATTTTAAGGGCCCAAGGATTAATCAAGACCCAGAAAGATGAAATGATAAACTACATCAGGCCAGCACTAGTGCAAACTCCCACAGGGACACGTCTGCCAACAGGGTTCCTGGCAGGAAACATTTAAATGCAAAGAGAACTACATATATTAACAGTATAATATCGTCATATAAACAGTTCCTTTATTTTTTTAATAGTTAAAATAAAAAAATAATTTTATTTTTTATATTTCTTTAAAAGTAGCATACTTTATGAAAAGAAACACTGGAAATATAGATTCTTTTTGAGAAATAACCTTCATCTTCACTAATAGGTATGGAGGAACCAGAGTTCTACACCAATTAATGGAAAATTAACCACTGGTAAGTCTAGTTCCAACCCCTGAAAAAGGACATACACATATGCTAGAACTGATTCAGTCCATTCAGTCAAAACATTTCCACTGCTGAACTGTATCTGCTACTGATACTGTAAGAATGTTCATTTTCCTGGGTGTCCTATTTTGTCAAAAGATTTCGTATTTATTACATTAACTGGCATTTACAAAGACTGGAGAGACCAGCGACAACACTATAGTATGTATGACCTTTCTTTCTTTTTAAATGTTCTCAGTAAACTGTAAAATTTAGCAATTACATTTAGGTTTTCATAACTTGCAGGTGTCTGAGTATTTCTTAATCTGCTTCGTCCCTTCAAAATTCTTTCAATTTTAAACAGAACATTTTTGCTTCTTAGTGCTAATCCTGTAGAATTTTTTTTTAATGAGCAAATTTTTTAAAAAATATTTTTGATTTCAGAGAGGAATCGAGAGGGAGAGAGAGAAACATCAGTGATGAGAGAGAATCATCGATCGGCTGCATCCTGCACGCCCCCTACTGGGGATCACATCCACAACTCCTGGCATGTGCTCTTAACTGAAATCGAACCCGGGACCCTTCAGTTGGCAGGCAGGCACTCTATTCACTGAGCAAAACCACCTAGGGCTGTAGAATTTTTTAAAGGGTTGTATGTTTCATACATTTTGAATTAAAATGCGCCCCCCCAACCCCAAAATAAAACCTATACAGGATCACTCTCCCCTATAAATACTGGCCTTTTCTATGAACCCTATTTCAAATTGAGAGTGGCATTTACATGTCAAGACGTGCAGGCACAAGTTTGTGTAGAACCTGCAACTTCATTATGAAGCTTCCTAAACACAATAGAGGATTTAGTATTTTTACTCTGACCAGTTTAAACAACACAAGGAGGTCGGCACGTTTTAATAAACTTAACGTGTTTCCTTGTCCTGAAAACAGACAGAGTGATGGTGACCTAGCATTTGATCGCCCAGGCTCCTGACTTTATGCTCATACTGTTGGCTAATCTGATAGTTGCTTGTTCAACATGCACCTCCCAGGGGATGATCAGGTGCTGCAAAAATGGCAAATTCTAGGCAGAAGACTTTGCTTCCGTTAGCACTTCTGGTACAAGGGTTAGAGGGGCTTAAAGAGGAGCGTTAGTAGCGATGATAAAATGAGGGAGTGTGTTCCCTGTGGATTTCACCTACTTTGTTAGGACTGGTCCCTCCTTACTTGAGGCTAACGAGGGAGACTAGACCATGAACTTGTTGTGGTAGCTGGTGGACACTTTCAAAAACTACAGTTATGTTCTCCAATACTTTTATTTCTCCAGTTTTATGGCACCATATTACTATTATTTTCACACCGGTTAAAATTCCCATTTTCATAATTCAAATACCAAGAAATTACTACACATTCCCGTATACAGTCAAAAATAGATTTACTGGAATGTTTTTAGTTACAGCTGAAGGCAGCAGCATTTACAACACTTAGCTTTTGTTACACCCATAAACGTGGAAATTGCTTGCAAAGCAACTGTAATGTGAGAAGAATCTTTCGAATATTGATGGAACAGCTACATAGGCTTCCTGATCCCACATCTTAATGCAAGAGTCCAAGTCCTTAAGCCACTGAAGAAGCAGTCGGAAGTCTCGTATCAGTGTTGAACTACAGACACACATAGTGAATGAGCAAATATCTAGTTTCAAATCAGATCCTTGGAATGTGGCAAAACAGGCTGGCTGTCTTGGCATTGAACATAATTATTAAACGCACATTTTCATTTTGCTAGAAGGGGAAAAAGATAATGGACATTCTCAATGCTCCAGTTTGAAGTGATACTTGCCTCTCAGTTTCTTGGAAAAGAAGTTTTGAAAGTTATATACATGGGTTTCATTTAAATTATGCAGCAATATTTTATTATTATTATTGTCCCAGATTTTGTTTAATGAAGATCTCTCTCATTAAGTCAAGTGCGGTATTTCACAACTGTAAGTACTGCAAGAGAAAAACACGAAAAAGGAACATGTCAAAATCATATCCACATGCCATGTTAGACATAATACTCTTATATGCAGCTGTGTCCACTTGGGAAGCAGGTAACGAGGACTGAATTTTGGGCTGAAAGGACAGATAACAAATGAGAACGGAGAAGCTAAAATAATCACAAAGTTACCTGAATCTAACATTGGCATTTTGACTAAACAGATTATGGCTGAACCTTAGCGTACAGCTGCTAAAATATTTTAAAAATAAATAACATGAGAAAATATAACATATTAATAAGAAAGTCTGTATGTAATCTTAGTTTTTTAAAAACATGTTTATATGTTAGTATGAAAAGGCTTGACATATATATGATAGTTATGTTAGCAGTAGCTATCACTATGTGGAAAATCACAGTTGAATTGTATCTTTTTCATGCTATTCCACATTTTCTAGTTTTCCAAGGATAAGCAGGAAGTTCCGAGACGCCCTAAATTACGTCCCAGCAGGACGGCAGGGACAGAGGAGATGGTTAGTCAGTGGGTAGCTGCGGGTGGTTCAGACTTCATACCCAGGAGCTGGTCTTTTCCTGGCTAGCACTTGCTTTAACAAACCCTTTCAGCCATGGAAGTTTTTTTAACATATCTTGTCAAGAGTGGAATTCGATCTTTCCAGGGAGCAGAAAAGGATGTGACACCCCCCCCTCCCGCCCCCAGATGAGTGTGGTGCTCACACCTTGAGGCTGATGTGCATAGCTTTACGGGGCCTCAACAAAAATCCGTAAGAGGCCGTCTTAGAGATGTACCTCGTGGAGGGGGTTCCCTCATCTGACTGGTGAGTTATAAGGGACACCCTCAAGTCAGTTTTTTAATTATGATGTCATTCACCAATATGTCTTTGTTTTTTACTTTCATTTGGGGAGGTGGGGGGAACTGAGCTTATAGTGACATCTTGTGGCCATTTGATGCAATTACAGCTTGGGTTCTCATGGCAGACCAACACCATTAGATTATTTCTCTGAAATTATAATGGTGATTTTCACTCCAAAGAAGAGAGACCATCGCTACTTCTGGCCCCTCAGGGGTGTTTCTAGGTGATGAGAAACCTTTGCAGAAATGTCTACTTATTGTCTGAGATATGAGATATGTAGCTGACTCAATTTCTTTGCAACAAAACTCTTTTCTCTTTAAAAAGAGAATATTACCATGGAATTTTTCAAATAATTATTTTGAGGCACTTTCCAAATCTTCATAAAGTCCCTGCAAGCACAGGGAAACAGGCCTTGAAGAAAATGAGATATCAAAAATGATCTTACTTTAAAAGAATATTAAGGCTATTAATGACTGAAATCAAGCTCAAATCCAAAACAGAAACAAAAAAACATTCATCTGAAGAGCTTATCTAGATCTGTCCTTCAAAGAATACTAAGAAATGCAAGCTGCCATTCCTTCTGGTTGATAATAAGCAGAAGATGAGTGCTGTGGCCCTAGTGTAACAGTAGCCATATTTGACCTCAAACAAAGCACTTAGCCCTGTGTTTGCATACCATGTAGGAGCATTTTCAGAGATCACAGGCTAAGAGCTCTTGACTGGGGTCAGAAATTATTACTCAATCCTGACAGACCACATCAACTGAAGACAAATTAAAAAGGGAATTAAAATGAACCCCAGAACAAATGATACTCCCCAAAATTAACAATCCAGGAAATACTTACTGATGATCACCAACAAAAGGATGACAACCACCAACGCCATGATGGCTTTTATCTACAACACACAAAAAGCGTAAGAAAGATATAAATATTAATTCTGACTTTTTTCGACTATCTGTTGTTATTTACCATATTATACCTTTTAAGGCTAATCCCTTAAAAGGCTTTCAAAATAGAATTTTTCATATGAACTTGCTATTTGGTTCCCCCAATTTAAGGGTTTTGCTTGCCCAGAATTTTCCATTCAAGAATCACTGTCCAGTGGACAGCAATCAAAGTCTCCATGGACCTGGACTTCTTGTGTATGATTTCTTGCTCTCACTTCTAATATGAGACCAGGAAAAGTACGGCATTTTACCAACTCTGTTAGAAAGGTGAATCAGGATAGGATTAACAGCACCGGCATCCAGCACAATGATTTCATACACACAGTACAAGGCAGCATGTCTGTAGCCTTGCTCAAAGGATATGAGAATTCTGTTTTGGCTCCCCTTACTTTCTTCTTGGCACTTTTATCTCTGAGGAAGGAATTTAGATTCTCCATGAATAACCTTATGTGATAAATAGTGTGGCTGAGAGCATTCTCTGTGTCAGTTTGACAGTTGTGGAGAAATCTTAAGGTTAGTCCTTAGTGAACTGACTAAAATTTTAAGCTCACATCATTTCTCTCACAAAATACCATGTGCGGGCGCACATGTACAGTGCGATTGAAACTTCTTGAAACTTCGTGGCCCATGTGCAGAAGTCGGTATTTTGTGTAAGAGCCACACTCAAGGGGCCAAAGAGCCGCATGCTGTTCGCGAGCCGCACTTTGCCGACCACTGCTATAGGCTGCTCCAAAACATGCTAATAATAAATTCTAAGAGAAACCAGTATTTCTTATGTTTAGAGGTAGCACATTATTAATAAAATGTAACTCTGAAGAATTCCATGGAAACAACTTTTTGAGCACTGATTCCTTTAGTTATTTCTGTTCCCAAACTATTCATCACTCAGCAAGTATTAATGGAGTTTGGCCCAGGCTCAGAAGACATAATGGAAAGTGAGGCAGCCATAGTCTCTGTCCTCACTGAGCTTATAATCCGGGCCTTTCCTTCTGGACTCGGAACAGCACGCAGGTGCTGACCAGTCTTTCCATGAGCTTCTGGTTTACTCACTTTGCATCCGCGCCACCACATCTGCCGTCGGAGTTGTTTGGATCTGTTGCTAAAAGCAGCTGCGTTATCCGATAAGCTTTCTATATCACACAGAGGGTGGAGAGAAGGATTAAACGACATAACAGGATTCTTTTATCTAGTCACACAAAGACAAGAAAATATTAATTTCTACTTCTGCAAATTTATTCCCTTTTAAGCATGAAAACAACAGCCTCCCTTTCCTCCACCCAAACACTTTGACATTCTGTATTGTAAAAAAAAAATCAAAAAGCAAAAAACTGCTGCAGGTCATTTTATTCAATCCATATTTATAACATTAAGAAAAGTCTTTCCAGGGCCTTAAGCCTTTCAAACAAACTTATGAATTCTCTTAAGGTACTAAGAGTATTTTCTTAAAGAGTATTAAGAAAATACTCTTTAGGTACTTGGGGGGCAGGGGTAGGCTAGAAGGGGTCAATGGGGGAAAAGGGTACATCTGTATTACATTCAACAATAAAGATAAATTTTAAAAAGTAAATTTAAAAAATTCAAGTACTTGGCACATCTACAGAAAAAAAGTGACATGTGAAAGTTACATTCTTAGAAGACCAAAAAGTGACTGATTTAGAAGCAAAAAAAATATGAATTTTAAAAGTGATTAAATAAGTTTTTTCTTTAACCTCTATGAAGGATTAGTCATATATTCAGCCACTCATTAGTTAAACAGTATCTGAGTACCTATTATAGGCACAGAGACTAACATGTTACCAGAGGAAGAAAAGATAAAACTATCAGATACATTTGAAATAAGTGTTGACATGATTAGACCTCTCCTGGAGATGGGAAATACAAAGCACATCAATGTAACAGGAAAAAAGAAAAACACGCCACTCTAACTCTTCAACAATGAATTTTTAAATTTTCCATTCTCAACTGACCACTTGAAATAATACAAGATGATTTAAAGTAAAGGAAGCTAAAGTGAAAACGTTACAGTCACCAGTTAAGAACCAAATACTATTTTACTAAGTCACATGTTCCTAAACTTCAGCTAGAAAAATGGGAGAAGTACACTAAAACATAGGTTAATAATTTCAAGAAATATATAAAATAGCTGTACCTGATTTGTCCTGTAGTTCATCTAGTCTCTCCCCTCTTTCAATTACCTTTGTAATATTTTCTTGCATGACATCAATAACTTCATCCACCTGATTCTGAACACTAGTTTAAAAAAAAGATTAACAATATTTATTTTTCTCTTGAGGATTTTATAATTTTTGCAACTTTCATTAGACATGAAAGAAAATAGCAAATTTTCAGAATTATTCAACTATGAAATGTTCAAGTACTGCAGAATTTAGTCAAATAGCTTGACTCTGACCTATCAGCTTCATCTTCTTTTCAGCAGGGAGCTGAGGCATCACACGGACACAGCTGTAACCTAAGTCTGCTGTATAGTTCACACACTAGGACTAACGAAGGAGTCTGCCCACGTGTGTCAGGAGCTCATGAAAACACCATTCCCCAAATGGAAATGTAAGGTCTGCTCTTGGACACTGACACTCAATGGGTAGAACTCTTTTCTTCACTGCTCCTCGGTTTTCACTTAAACAGTGTTTAAGACACTGGCAATACCTGGGAGGGTCTGAACCAATCGGAACACCTTCATGTTTGTTGATCTTCAGAATAGAAATATGACTTCCTCCTTTATAGCAGGTGATGAGGGCCTGTTCCAAAGTTTAGGCTGTTCAATGAAGGTTTAATATATATTCAAAAATTTAATGACTGGTTTTCAGCTGCCTACTCTCACTCTGGAGTACATCAACACAGACGTGTTCACTATTTTAAGTGTCTACTTTTCCTCTGTTGCTCCAATCATTAGGTAAAAATGACCTTATATTAATTTATGAAATAAGTCATGGTGACACCTCGATTTCAGGCCTTTCAGACCCTGTGCAGAGGGTCAGCTATGCAGTGACTGAGCTCCTGACCCATGGGAAACTTGAGATGACAGTTGTGTCCTGTTTTAGGCTGCTAATTGCCGGCCAATTTGTTACACAGCAACAGAAAATAAAAACACCCTGTCTAGTACTTGAATCAATTTCTTGGGACCTTGGTTCTATATTTCAGGATCCATGAGCTAGGATTAGGATAAGTGTGAACATATTTCTTCACAGCAGCAGCTACCTGAGTAAAGTCCAAGTATCTCATAAAAAATGTGATATCTGAGAGGAACCAAGATGGCGGCATAGGTAAACACCTGAACTTGCTGTCTTGCACAACCACATCAAAACTACAACTAAAAGACAAAATGGACATCATCCAGAACCACGGGAAGGCTGGCTGAGTGGAAGTTCTACAACAAGAAGGAAAGAGAAAAGCGCACCAAGACTGGGAGGAGGTGCAGAGGTGCAGAAGAGCAAAGGTACGGAGGCTGGCAGCTGGGTACACTGTGGTCTTTTTCAATCGGGAGGGAGATACAAACTCCCACCTGCTCTGAACTCCAGTACCAGGTGAGACTCTGGGGACCCAAACTCATATGGGGAGAAACTGGGCTGTCTGGCATCGGGCCGGAACACAAGGGCGGGTTTCTCTCAGAGGTGGTTGCAGCGTTCATTGTTCCTGCAGGACACAGAGACCCAGGGACCTATAAAGGGCAGGGCCAACGGGCAACCATTGCTATTTGTACTGCCCTGTGATTTCCTGAGACCACACCACACCCAATTTACAACTCTACCCAAGCTGTGCGCAGAGGCGCTTGCATATGAATGGCCTGGCCTTTTGCAACCTAACCTAACAAACTGCAGCTGGGTCAAAGAACCCCAGAGCTTCCAAAAGAAAGCCTAAGGCTCATCAGCAGCCTGCCTTGCTTCACAGCTGCGCCTAATCTGGGCACCTCCAAACCCCAAACAAAGATAAGGAATCTGCAGATCTCTCTATAGCTCCTGCTGGGTGGCCTCAGGCAGTGGCTGACTTTGCACCTCCTTGGAGATCCAAGAGCCAGTGTACCCAGTGGTCAAAGTGGGACCACTCCAGATTACAACTCTTCAGATCCATAAGGGACACACTCAGGGGGCAGACTCAGTGAGCACCAAAGCCCCACTGACGCAAGTCGTAAAGAACCAACTAGAAATGAAGCATACACGGACTGAAATAAAGAATAGTATACAGAGTTCCAACAGCAGACTAGAGGATTGCAAGAATCAAGTCAAAGATTTGAAATACAAAGAAGCAAAAATCACCCAACTGGAGAAACAAAAAGAAAAAAGAATCCAAAAATATGAAGATAGTGTAAGGAGCCTCTGGGACAACTTCAAGCATCCCAACATCCAAATTATCGGGGTGGCAGAAGAAGAGAAAGAGCAAGATACTGAAAACCTATTAGAAGAAATCATGACAGAAAACTTCGCCTACCTGATGAAAGAAATAGACTTACAAGTCCAGGAAGTGCAGAGAACCCCAAACAAGAGGAATCCAAAGAGGACCACACCAAGACACATCATAATTAAAATGCCAAGATCAAAAGACAGAGAGAGAATCTTAAGAGCAGCAAGAGAAAGAAACTCAGTTACCTACAAGGGAATACCCATACGACTGTCAGCGGATCTCTCAACAGAAACTATGAAGGCCAGAAGGGAGTGGCAAGAGATATTCAAAGGGATGAATGCCAAGAACCTACAAACCAAGATTCTCTACCCAGCAAAGCTATCATTCAGAATAGAAGGTCAGATAAAGAGCTTCACAGATAAGGAAAAGCTAAAGTAGTTCATCACTGCCAAACCAGTATTATATGAAATGCTGAAGGGTATTATTTAAGAAGAGGAGGAAGAAGAAAAAGGTAAAGATAAAAATTATGAACAATAAAGTGACAACACCTATCTATCAAGAAGTAAATCTAAAAATCGAGTGAATAAAAAAATCGGATGAACAGAGTAAACTGGTGAATATAATAGAATCAGGGGCATAGAAAGGGAGTGGACTGACAATTCTCAGGGGGAAGGGTGTTTGGGAAGGGATTGGACAAAAATCAAACACCTATGGATGAGGACAATGGCGGGGGGGTAAGGGCATGGAGTGGGGTGGGAACCGGGTGGAGGGGAGCTATGGGGAGAAAAAAGAGGAACAACTGTAATAATCTGAACAATAAAGACTTATTAAAAAAAATGTGATACCCCATCACAATATCTTATTCCCACGATGTGCTATCAATACTCAAAATCAGCGCAGTCCTCCCTAACCAGTTTGGCCCAGTGGACAGA